CCGCCGTGCCACAACCCGGAGCCTCACCCACACGGGAGGTCATCGACTCCGAGCCCCGGCTCAGCGTGCCCCACTAGGATAGAGTATAGAGTAGGATAGACGGCGGTGACGGCTGCTTCTATGCCAGACAGGTCGCTTCCACGATTTCCGCGATTTCCGGGCTTTCCGGGCGGGTGTTGGAAGGGCCCAAAAAGCCAACATGGAAGTCGTGGAAAAATGAAGCTCCTGGACACCAAAACCGGGCTCGAAAGGCAGGGCTCGAAAGTGAAGTCCGAACAACATGGAAATCGCGGAAAACGTGGAAAATGAAGCTCCTGATCATCAAAAACGGGCTCAAGATCAGGATGTGCAAAAGCACAACATGGAAAGGCTGGGAAAGGGCTTTTTCGCTCTCTCTGGGGAGGGTGTTCCAGCTCTCCACTCTGTAGTAGCTACGAGGCTAGTTTCAAGACATAGGCTAGAATTCGCTACTTGGAGGGCCTGTCGATTTTGAGGGCTGGAGGCCGTAGGGCTAGCAATCTTAGGGGCTCCACAGTGCTTGCAAAACGGGCGCGGGCGGCTTCGGAGGCAGTTTGAGGGCGCGAGCTGTTTGCAGGTGCGCCGTCGCGCTCCGGAGCTGTTTGGGGAGCGACGCGCGCTTACTCGCGCTGTGTTGGCGCGGAGGGCGTGGGAGCTCGAGCGGTGCTGGTTTGCGGCTCGAAAGTCGCTCGTAAGCTGCTGGCGAGTGCTCGTAAGTTGCCAGCAAGCAGCTCGTAAGCCGCTGGGCCTCTAAAGCTGCTGGGCTGCAGCTCTTAAGTCGCTCGTAAGCTGCTGGGCTGCAGCTCTTAAGTCGCTCGTAAGCTGCTGGGCTGCAGCTCTTAAGCTGCTGGGCTGCAGCTCTTAAGTCGCTCGTAAGCTGCTGGGCTGCAGCTCTTAAGTCGCTCGTAAGCTGCTGGGCTGCAGCTCTTAAGCTGCTGGGCTGCAGCTCGTAAGTCGCTCGTAAGCTGCTGGGCTGCAGCTCGTAAGTCGCTCGTAAGCTGCTGGGCTGCAGCTCTTAAGTCGCTCGTAAGTTGCCAGCAAACAGCTCGTAAGCTGCTGGGCTGCAGCTCTTAAGTCGCTCGTAAGCTGCTGGCGAGTGCTCGTAAGTTGCCAGCAAGTAGCTCGTAAGCTGCCCGCGAGTGCTCGTCAGCTGCTGGCAAGTGGCGCGCCCTTAAAGTTCCTTTAAAGCCCGTTTTGCAAAGACTTTAGAGCCCCTAAGATCGTCGGAGCTGCGGGCCGTAGGCCCGCGAATCGAGAGTGCTCCAAAGTACCGAATTCTGACCTATGTTTCGAACTTAGGCCTGTAGCTATCACAGAGTGGAGCGCTGGAACACCCTCCCCAGAGAGAGGCTCTTCAACAACAGAAGATACAACCAGAAGCACAGCCGGTCTTGCAGAGGCTGCAAGGCGGCTTGATCTGCTCTCTTGAGAAATGCTAGAGTCACCTCTGGACAAATTTCCCAATCTCATTGTTGGTGACCTCCAAAGCTGCACAGTTATGGAGCTGTTGGGCAATCCCATTTTAAGACTCGCAGAACTCAAGCAATTCTGGCTTCGCCAGGTCGGCCCTCCACAGTAGTTTATCAGATTAGCAGCTGGTTCAGTTTGAAGCAATTCAAAACGTTTAAGCGGCCCTGTAGGAGGGTTTAGACAACAACCTGTGTGTATTGGTTTAACCGCGCGTTTGATGTTGTGTCTCGGGTTTAGCGTTTTTTTTGCGGATGGGCTCCACATAATGAGACGGCGGAGAGCAACCGAAATTGTAGGCTGCACAGGGAAAACTTATGTAGGAGCCTTCTAAACATCCTAGACCTTGTCTCGACCTTCATTTTAACAGCTTTGACGGGCTCATGTTCAAGATGTCTTTTTCCAGAACGCGCGATCTTTTTCCATTTTGTTCGACATCCGCGGTCCAGAAAAAGATTTTTTTCGGCCCAGGCAGAAGCCAGAAAAAAGACAAGTTGGGGCCGGAAAAAAGATCCTTTGTCGTGTGTGTGTGTGTTCTCAATTTCTTTTATTCATTCTTATTTTCTTTGCTTTTGCCCCCTAAAGCGATATCGTGTGGCTTCTCCTTTCTTCGTGTTGGAAAAAGGTGTTTTTTGATGTTTTTTCGATGACGCAGTTTGATTTCTTTCGTTCGCTTTCAGCCCCAAGTGCTTCTTCTTTTTGTGTGTTTGAGAAGATGTTAGTTTAAGATAGTATGGTTAAGTGAGTTTTTGTCCAGTTTGCGTTGCAAAAATTATGGTAGCGCTCTTTGTTGTGTTGTTTGAATGTCACGTGACATGTGTGCGTGCTTCTATCTGTGCAGAGGTCAGAAAAAAGACATTAGAGGCCCAGAAAAAGATCCACCGGGGTCCGAAAATTGACCTCGTCGCGGGGCTGAAAAAAATATGGAGGTCGGAAAAAAGACATGCCGGGGTCGAAATCAAGATGGACCAAGCGCGCGGTCTGAAAAAAGATATTTCGGGGTCGAAAAAAAGAGCAGCCCCATCCTGTCAGTGCCGGAAAGGTTCCCTGTCACGATACACCTCTCACACCAGCTATGCAAGAGAATGTTCAACAAGAAGTCCTTACAGTGCGGACATGGTCAGCCGCTTGGGTCTTCGCCCACCACACTGCATCCAAATAAGCTGGTGGGAGAAGCTGGTCCAGGTTCGTTGGAACCTGGATGCTTCAGCTTTGCCAGCATCTTTGAAAATTTAAACTTCAAGAGTCTTCGAAGGGGGCTGGAGGTAGCTTGAACGGGGGGCGATTTCGTGTTGGCCGTTTTTGATCAATTGCATGCTTCTCTTTGTGTCGACACTTTTTAGATTGAAGCGATTTTGTATGAGCTTCTCCTCTTTTGGAAAAGATTTCTATTCGAGATTTGCTTGCCTGATTTCTCATTTTCAAAACCTCTTGAAAGCGATTTCGTGGGATTCTTCTCCCTGAAACGATTGCCGCCCAAATCCTCTTGCTTTTGAACCACCAAAGCGATTTTTGCTTTTTTCGTGTTGGAGAAAGATTTCTAGTCCTCTTCCTTTCTTTTTGTCGCTTTTAAACCCCCCCGAAACGATTTCGTGTAGCCTTCTTCTTTCGTGTGAAAGACTTTTTATCTTCCCCTCTGGAGCGATGTGTGCCTTCTCCTTGTTTCTTCGGTTTTGAACCCCTCCAAGCAATTCGTGTGGACTTCTCCATTTTTCGTGTTTCGGGAACTCTATGTTCGAACTGTGGGTTCGAGGAACTCTATGTTTGAACCCTGGGTTCGGGGAACCTTGTTCGAACCCGGGTTCGGGGAACTCTATGTTCGAACCCCAGGTTCAGAGACTCTATGTTCGAATCCGGGTTCGCGGAACTATATATTTCGGTCCCTGGGTTCGCGACTCTATGTTTGAACCCTGGGTTGGGGAACTCTATATTCGAATCTTGGGCTTGCGGAACTCTATATTCGACCCCTGGGTTCGCGGAACTCTACATTCGAACCTTGGGTTCGGGGAACTCTACATTCGAACCCTGGGTTCGGGGAAATTCTATGTTCCAACCCTGGGTTCGGGGAACTCTATGTTCCAACCCGGGGTTGGCGGAACTCTACGTTCTAGGGTTTGGTCTTTAGGGTTTAGGGTCAGTTCCCCGAACCTAGGGTTCGAATATAGAGTTTCCTGAACCCAGGGTTCGAACATGGAGTTCCCCGAACCCGGGGTTCGAACATAGAGTTCAAACACCAGGTTGAACTTGAGTTCGCGAAGTTCGACATCAGGGTTCAACCCTGAGTTCCGATTTTGTGTTTGCCCCCCCGCCACCCCCGCCCCGGAATTCGAACCCAGGGTTCGGGGATACTCCAAAACCTATGTTCGCATGGCTGGACGTCGAGGCATGGCATGTGCCTCCAAGGCGAGGGGATGCTGGCAGACATGGACGCTGTGCGCCCGCAGTTGCGAAGCAGTTTGGAGTGCCATGAAGGAGGCTGCACCTGGTCTAGGAAACATTGAATCGTACTGACAGCGAAGACTGTGACAGCCCAAAAAAGGCGCCCACATACCCTCGTGCGAGGAGCACGAATGTACAGCATTGACAGCAATGGATGAGCCTACCAAGACCGAATGTATGTGAGTCTCCACGAGAGAGGGCCAAGCTTCACGTGAAAGTGTCGCGAACATCTGCTAGGACGTGAACCAACCGCGCAGGCCCCGAAGTCATCATCACATGTGAGCAACGGCCTCCCCGCAACCGTTGCACGGCTCGCCGGCACGCCGCAACCCTTTCATAATACCCCATTGGCCAGGGTTCGGGGCTGGAAGTAAGCAAAGTTAAGGTGAACCCGGAACTTCAGGTTGAAGGTTCGAATCAGCTTGTCCAACCCGAACCAGCACCCTAACCTCAGGTAGAGTTGGGGTTAACTCGAACCCCAAACCTTGAACTAGGGTTCGGGTTAACCCCAACCTGAACTGGCGTCGAGGTTAGGGTTCGGGTTAAGTCCCGCGGGATGTCCACAAACCCACCTGAGCTTTGATGCGGGGCGACTGCATATGCCGGCATGGCCAGCATCGTTGAGGAGGAACACTCGGAACATGATTCACCCCCGTGCATTCTTCAGAGGTCAAAAGATAAAGGGTTTATTCGTTGAACGCACTTTTGATTGAACGATAAGTTCACATTCGATTTTATTTCGGTTGAATTTTGCTAAATGCATGTGGTTGTCGAATTGTCTGCTTCCAGGCAATGAGGAGCAGCGGCCTAAAAATATGTGCCCTTGTCAATTGTTTTTGTGATTGTGCCCCGCATGTTGTGAGTTGCATGGTTCGCCGAGAGCATCCGAGAGCCACATTAGCCACATTGGACACCTGATCTGCAGAAGTTGACCACTGGAGTGAGCAGTCGTGCTAGGTGAAAGTACACGCTCAGCGTTGACCCAGTTTCATTTGTTAGTATGCTGCATGAACAATCATGAACCGCTGAATCATTTTTCGAGCTTGCTGTTGAATTGAGGCAGTTTTTTCCTCGCCATGGCTTCAGAAATGGCCGGCATCAAAGACGGAGGATTGCCCGACAGTTGCGTGGATTTTGTCTGCTTGTGCGTTGAGTCGGTTACGCATCAGCGCCTAAAGGTTGGCTAGCAGCTAGCAGTGGCGGTCTGTTTGAAGTGCTCGAGCTCCTGTGCTGGCAAGGCGATCCTGTCGCTGCTGGTCGTGGGGCCAAGATCCGCGAGTCCATGAAACAGCTGCTCAACTCCACTCACGTGAGACGTCATGTTGAGCTTCTGGTCCAGGCAAGCCCTGCGTAAGATAAATACAAGCCAGAGAGGTGGCGGATCGAACACAAAACAGGAATGTGTGCACGAATCAACACATCAACTTGACCATTGATGTGTATGTGTGTGTGTGAGAGAGAGAGAGAGAGAGAGAGAGAGAGCCATGTTGCAGATATTCGTTGCGTTGATTCAGATATTCTTAGAGTCACAAGTCACCTGGCGATGATCGAAGGTTGCTTCAAAGTAAAGCCGGGAAGGGCTCCGTGGCATCAAGGAGGAAGCCTCCAGATGCATCGAAGGCAGCCATCCTAAGTACTTGCACGGGTCTGACGCTGTTGCGAAAAGTTCTGGCAGGATGCTGAGAATGATGCGGCTAAAAGCAACGAGGATGGACAGCCGGACAGCAGCAATGAATTTGTGCTTCGATCTTCTGCTTGAAGGAGTTTTTCCGACAGCTCGAAGAGGACACGACAACACCGAAGGTTGAGTCTTCTTCTGCCGTAAGGTCGTTTGTGTGAGACAATGTGAAACAGGACGGCGAGAAGTCGAGCATGTGTGGAATGCTCTGCAGGATTATGGGCGCCTCTGCCGCGATGATGGATGGGATGAGGCCAGTGCCCGATAAGCATGCCTGCTTCCTTGGAAGCTCCAGTCATAGGTGACACGCCATTGATTCCAAGGTCCTTCGGGCTGCACGTGAAGAGCCTAGTGCCGCATGCTTGGATGCTTGGAAAGACGCAGGTTTCGGGTTGGTGCCACCCAGATCCACCAAACATCAAAGCTGCATCCGGTGGGAGGCTCCGCCGCTCCGACCCGAGGACGCTGTGACTTAGCTGCACAAACACAGCGGCTTTCTTTTGGTACAGGACAAAGGCTGAACAACCTACTGGAAAGGTAGGTAGTTTTTGCAAAGCCAGTGCATAAGCTCGTTTACCTTTGAGCTGAGATTCCTGCCGGCTCTGACTACTTCAGGGTGAAGCTGCCACCAGGCGTCAGTGAGCAAGCTGGCATGCATAGTTTCGCGGCTTATGACTGATATTGACGCCATCTTGCCGTTTCGCGTTCATACTCGATTGTCAACTACTGGTAACGTGGTGCCATGCATGTCCATCCGGATGTGTTGAAGCCAGGAACGCCATGACGTCTGAGTGAAGTTGACCAAAGATGGCACCTACAAAATCCCGAACACGGACGGTTCCACGCAGCCTGAAACCGAAAGGAAAAGAGCAAGGAATAGTTTGCAGTGTGTGCTCAACACGCTGATGACATGTAGGTATCGACTTAACCCAAGATGCAACCTAAGAAAGGCCCGAACAAAGACGGTACTTCCATACTCAGCCTGAAGCCGAGTGCGCTTTGTTCTCAAAACGCTGATGTTACGTAGGTATTCTCAAAGCAAGTCCTACGGCAAGCAAAGCGGGCAGCAAGCAGACGACTGACCGGTTCACTGTGATTCCAAGGTTAGGGGGGTTGCCACCAATCCGCGACACCATCACTCCCCCTCCGGACCAGTTGGCTCCTGACGATGCAGCACAGGGCACAGGTTCTTGTTTTGATTCACCACAAATTCTGTATCTGGCCTGTTTGTGACAAATCGTGCCTTCGCAAGCGCCGAAAACATCCAGAGTCGGAAGGGCCCAGGGCGTGTTTCTGGCTTCTGGCTTTCCTTTGTGCCACTGGGTTTGGCCGGGGTCAGGGAGGCGGAAGCAAACAAGGTCGCTCCACGCGCAGCTCGAGAGGGAGGGCCGAGGCGCAAATATCCTACTTTGTGCTAAGCAGCTACAACAAGGCTACGCGGCTACAAGCTGCTGTCTTCTGCCTTGCTGTACCCCTGCTCCGAGCATTGATGGACTGTGTTGCCTGCAATTATTTTCTATTTTGCTGTCGATATCGTGTGGTTATTGCAAGGCTTCATGCTGACAACGACAAGCTCAACTCTCGGATCGAGCTTGAGTAAGACTATACGGGAGCGAGTTGTGCTTTCTCTCCTTTGGCTGACGCATCTCACTGCAAAGCTGCGCTTCGTAGGTCGCTTGATTTTGTGTTTATGGCGTGCTGGGTTGCGCAACACACGATCTGTCTTGAAGACGGGGACGGCAACAGCGATCCCAGTTTTCAAATGTCAGAAGCGCCTAAAGAGTCAGAATCAAGGCTCCGACATTAGGCGAAAAGTCTTCACATCTCCTCACCAATCTGCAATCATCGTAGTTGCCTTATTTGGCAGATCTTAGAACGTCCAATGTTTACATAGCTGAGCAGCTCACATCCTTCGTGCTATTCATGTTTTTCCCATGGACCCCTTTAGCCGCAACGTCCTGGCTTGCCTTGTAAGCAAGTTAGACAAGTCTTCAAAACTCCAACACAAATGGAAGTCCCGGAATGGCAGGGAATACAAGATTCGTAGGGACTGCAGTCGTCGGGCAGGAGGACCGGCAGGTGACAGGGAGCTGAAAAATTACTGTACTGTATCGGCAGTCTTGCTGCGAAAGGCCAGTTTAGTGACCAATGAATTGGCATTTGGCCAACAGGCGACCCATCTGCATTCACAGTTATGTGCGCAGGTCAAGACCGTGAGCTACGTCTTGACCCGGTGCACTGGCATGCTGTGTGGTTGTAGTCCTTGTGGATACCAATCGAACAAGCTCGGGGAGCAAAAGTTCACAGCCTTCATGCCGATGACAGGCACGTACTGGAAACGGCAAAGCTTTTGCAGAAAGTCGTCCAAGACGGAATCTCGCGCGCGATCCCAGACAGCTTATGGCAGCACGACACATGAGTGAACTCGGGTTCTTCTGAGGCTGTTGAGGAAGCGACTAGTCTGACTAGTTTTGCGTAGAAGTACTTCGTGAGCTCTGATACATATGTTTGCATTGTGCAAATATGGCGTCTTACGGGCGTGTTTGGGCCCCTCCGGGTTTTCCCTTTGTTAGACGCTTCGCCTGAGGATGCTCTTCGGCAAGTCGAGCAGGAGACTCGAGAGGTGGACAATGAGGGTGGTCTGGTGGTTTTATAGCACTGGAGTTACAAGTACAAAACCAAAAGGTGTCCGGGTTGTCTCTGCCTGCGAGGTATCAACACACGCTCCAATGCTCCCCTCTCTTTTGCTCGCTTGCAAGTCGCTTCTCTGCCAGGTCGCCCTGCCGCTAGATGCTCGTCATAATGGAAAAATCCTGAGCATGTGTGGCTCTTCCAAATCGTTCACCTTCGCTTGTCAATGGCATGTCCTGCCATCTAACATGGACAAAAACTGTGCAGTGGGTGCTGAGATTTCCACAGGATTCCCAGTTTGCTGTAGGCACTGTGCCGAGCCAGAGTGACTGCAAGAAAGTAGCCTTGGGCTTTGTTGCATGCCTGCAGTCGGAGGTCATGCGGATTTGCTGCATTCATTTGAAACAGACTTGCAGTTGTTGCGCTGAGATGTTGTTGTGCCTTCCAACGCAAGGCCATGGCGCGGGAACAGCTACGCCTTGACAGTCTGCCCGGTCACCAATTCCGACGTCATGCAGCATCATGTTACGCATGGCAACGTTGGTTTTCTGGTGCTTTCTGGATGCCGGCATGTGTCCAGGCCCAAGTCTGAGCCCATCCGCACGCGATCGGACGTGCGCTCCTTGGTCTTGATGGGAGGACCGAGCCTGACAGCTGTAACGGTCGGCAGCCGAAATTGGCACCTTGGCACTCCAACACAACCTGTTGTGCCTCCTTGAATCGTCTGCAAGTCTTGGTGCGAAAGTTTTGAGCCAGGGCCATGTGCAATGAGTTTGGTGCACGTTCCGGAACTACCTGAAGCAAACAGATAAGACAACAGCGTCAATGCGCAAGTCTCTCACTAGAACTGTAGCTGCTGCTGTAAGAAAGCAAAGCACAATGCACATCTGTTCGGCATAAGGTTCCAGAAGCCAGCCAGGCGAAAGCGCCCGTACAGGAAAAACATGATGGTGAGAGTGCTGTGGCAGGGTTTTTCCAGCATTGAGTGTTGTAGCAAAAACAGACCGTGTACTGTATGTATATGTATATGTCTATGTCCTTGTTCATGTCCATGCCGATGTCTATGTGTATGGGTATGCGTAAAGGTACATGTTTATGTGTATGTATATGCACGTATATGTATATGTATATGTATATGCACATGTGCGTGTACATGTATATGTATATGTATATGTATATGCATATGCATACGTATATGTATATGTATATGTGTTTGTATATGTATATGTATATGTACGGTTGTATATGTATATGTATATGTATATGTATATGTATATGTACGCTTGTATGTACATGTATATGTATGTGTATCTTTGTATCTTTGTGTATATGTGTATGTTCGTATGATCCTGCTGTACATGCGACATGTTTTGCTTCACTTCTTTCGGGCTCTGTATTTTTTTGATTTTTGTTTGATGTTTTTTGTTGTTTGCTTTTTCCTGTTTTTATCTTGCAGGGGGACGGAGGGGGTGCAGGGGAGCTCCGTCCAACGAAGCTCTCCCCTGCATCCTGCACCCTGGGTAACATACCTGCATTGCCTGCGCCTGGGCCCCGTCGTGGGCAGCTGGCGGGGCACTCATGTTTTGTCAGATCCTGCTTGTTCATGAGCGCATGGCAAACATGTCATTCATGAGTCATGAGTGCATTGAGAACATGTCAGTCATGTGCATTGGACGACCGTACAACCCATCAGTCATGTGCGACAAGGCGGGCTTAACAAGTATCCCTTCAGTTGTGTTCGGCAAGAGCTCCGTCATGAGGGCTTTTTCGCTTTTCGGCGAAATATGCCGGCCCACCGGGGTTTGTTACGTGTACGTAGGTCCGGAGTTGCACTTAGGAGTGATTACATGTTCAAGTGGAAGTCACAGTGGAAATCAACAGTCAAGTCGGGAGATCAGCCTCTGGAGGTCGCATTGGAGACTGCACTGGAGATCGTCCTCATCTTCGCCTGGTCCTTCTTTCCTTCATTGTTTTCAGGCGTCCATTTGTAGTTGTTCCACTCCGTCACCTCATCGGGCCTGTCTCCAAAAACGTCTCCCATTTCGCTGTCATTTAATCACTTGATGGAAGCGCCGGTCCGCGGCGAACGGCTGATTCTATTCGGCGGCGACAGATGTGACGATCATGTTCGATATTATAGTCAAAGACGTTGTTTGCTGGTATTCTCTGGGACATGGTGCAGTCCTCATCTTCGCCTGGTCCTTCTTTCCTTCATTGTTGTCTTGCGTCCATTTGTAGTTGTTCCACTTTCTCCGTCACCTCATCGGGCCTGTCTCCGAAAACGTTTCCCTCTTCGCTGTCATCTAAGCACTTGATGGAAGCAGCTGATTCTATTCGGCGGCGACAGATGTGACGATCATATTCGAGACCGGTCGGGATGCTGGTCGCTGGAATTATCTGAAAGTGCAATCCTCATCTTCGCCTGGTCCTTGTTTCGTTCATTGTTTTCTTGCGTCCATCTGTAGTTGTTTCACTTTCTCTGTCACCTCATCGGGCCTGTCTCCAAAACGTCTCCCTGTTCTTTGTCATCCAATCAACTGACGGAAGCGCCGGTCTCCGGCATCGGTCTGAAGACGGTGCGAAGCTCCACAGGAATGATCTCTTGGAGCTTGATCTTTATTCTACGACCAATGCGACGATCATGTTCGAGACTATAGTCAGAGACGTTGGTTGCTGGTATTCCCTGGGACCTGGTGCAGTCCTCATCTTCGCTTGGTCCTTCTTTCGTTCATTGTTTTCTTGCGTCCATTTGTAGTTGTTCCACTTTCTCCGTCACCTCATCGGGCCTTTCTCCCAAAACGTCTCCCTTGTCGCTGTCATGTAATCAGTTGATGGAAGCGCCGGTCCGCGGCGAACAGCTGATTCTATTCGGCGGAGACAGATGTGACGATCATATTCGAGACCAGTCGGGATGCTGGTCGCTGGTATTATCTGAAAGTGCAATCCTCATCTTCGCCTGGTCCTTGTTTCGTTCATTGTTTTCTTGCGTCCATCTGTAGTTGTTTCACTTTCTCTGTCACCTCATCGGGCCTGTCTCCAAAACGTCTCCCTGTTCTTCGTCATCCAATCAACTGACGAAAGCGCCGGTCTCTGGCATCGGTCTGAAGACGGTGCGAAGCCTCATCAGGAATGATCTCCTGGAGTTTGATTTTTTTTCTACGACCAATGCGACGATCATGTTCGAGACTATAGTCAGAGACGTTGGTTGCTGGTATTCTCCGGGACCCGGTGCCAGTCCTCATCTTCGCTGGATCTTTCTTTCGTTCATTGTTTTCTTGCGTCCATTTGTAGTTGTTCCACTTTCTCCGTCACCTCATCGGGCCTTTCTCCCAAAGCGTCTCCCTTTTCGCTGTCATGTAATCAGTTGATGGAAGCGCCGGTCCGCGGCGAACAGCTGATTCTATTCGGCGGAGACAGATGTGACGATCATATTCGAGACCAGTCGGGATGCTGGTCGCTGGTATTATCTGAAAGTGCAATCCTCATCTTCGCCTGGTCCTTCTTTCGTTCATTGTTTTCTTGCGTCCATCTGTAGTTGTTTCGCTTTCTCCGTCACCTCATCGGGCCTGTCTCCAAAACGTCTCCCTGTTCTTCGTCATCCAATCAACTGACGGAAGCGCCAGTCTCCGGCATCGGTCTGAAGACGGTGCGAAGCTCCACAGGAATGATCTCCTGGAGTTTGATTTTTTTTCTACGACCAATGCGACGATCATGTTCGAGACTATAGTCAGAGACGTTGGTTGCTGGTATTCCCTGGGACCTGGTGCAGTCCTCATCTTCGCCTGGTCCTTCTTTCGTTCATTGTTTTCTTGCGTCCATTTCTAGTTGTTCCACTTTCTCCGTCACCTCATCGGGCCTGTCTCCCAAAACGTCTCCCTTTTCGCTGTCATGTAATCAGTTGATGGAAGCGCCGGTCCGCGGCGAACAGCTGATTCTATTCGCACGTGGCCTCATGAGTAGACGGGCAAGATGCTGTGTGAGTATCTGAGTACCAAGAACATGGCCGGCTTCGATGCGCAAAACACGACTAGTGACGTTGTACTGCTCGGATGGGGGATGTTTGTGTGATTCTGTTGTACATGTGACATGTTTTGCTTCACTTCTTTAGGGTTCTGGCTTTTTTGATTTTTGTTTGTTGTTTTTTGTTTTTGTGTTTTTTTGTTTTCATCTTGGAGGGGGATGGAGGGGTGCAGGGGAGCTCCGTCCAACGACGCTCTCCCCTGCACCCTGCACCCTGGGTAACGTACCTGCATTGCCTGCGCCTGGGCCCCGTCGTGGGCAGCTGGCGGGGCACTCATGTTTTGTCAGATCCTGCTTTTTCATGAGCGCATGGCAAAGATGTCATTCATGAGTCATGAGTGCATTGAGAACAAGTCAGTCATGTGCATTGGACGACCGTACAACCCATCAGTCATGTGCGACGAGGCGGGCTTAACAAGTATCTCTTCAGTTGTATGTGTCTATGTGTTTAGACGTCTAGATGTCTAGACGTGTAGATGTCTAGATGTCCATATGTCTATATGCGGGTTTATGTGTAAAGTTGTATATGTGTACATTTGTATATGTTTATATGTGCATATTCCTATATGTGTAAAGGGGTATATGTCTATATGTGTACATATGTATGTTTGTTTATCTATATATATGTACATGTACATGTATATGCATATGTATATGTGGATGTAGATGTATGCTCCCCTTTTTGACACCCGACGGATGCTGTAGACTAGTGGCTACTGACATTATAGGCTTTGTATAGAGGGTTTGACATCAAAAGAGCTTCGAACGACTTGGTGGTGCAATGTAGCACTCCAGTGGTCGTCCTTCATGGCAACGGTAGAATTGCAAACGGGCTTAAGCTCGAGGATCAAAGTGCGCCGTGTCGCTGGGAGGACTAAAGTCAACAGCAGTTTCCGTCACCCTTGCAACAAGGGTTTGAGCATCGTGATCATGATGGTGCATGCACCGAGGTCGTGTACTTGGAGACCTTGGACGACTCCGAGGCGTCACCCGTTTAAACAGGGGGCTTGAAACACAGTGTCCAAACGAAGAGAAGCCATTCCAGCATGGGCGGTGCGCTCGAAACGTGCCTGCTGGCCGCCGGGCCTAGCCAAGCAGAGGACTGCTGCACCAGTTACGGGGCAATCAGAGGCCTCCCGAGGCGTGAGTACAATCGAGTACCTCGAAAGTCGCTGCTATGTCGCATCTTATATGACAGATCGACTCACCTGCCAATGTCCGTCCAGACTCTTGACCATTTGTGTCAGCGATCTGCATGTGCAAGCATGTGTATGAATCGCAATATCTGTGCATAGACATCAAGTCGAGGACGAAGGACGACAGACCTCTGGCATTGGCGTGGTTTCCACACCGCCCCGGCCTGAATCAATGGAGGGCTGCAGACAGCTCACTGCATGGTGAGTTGTTTCCAGTCGAAAACACAACTATTCTTGGATTTTGGATTGGGCCAGATAGTGTCTCCAGGCTGAACCAACCCGAGAAAACCAAGCCTACAAGTACAGACGACATGCTTTCGATTAAGCCGAAGTTTGGCGTTTTAGTCGAGGGAGTGCCGCTGCGAAGGGGCAATCAAGCAAAGCTTCTGACAGTATTCTATGGGTAAAATCTGATACACGCCCCAAGGTGCAGACTTTCCTTGAGCAAACTCTATACTATAAAGGCCCATTGGTTAGGCTCGGCTAGCCAGCAGGATCCCCGTGTCCCAACATGTATTTAGTTGTTGGCCAGCAATGTTCAGCTTTCGAAGGGACCCTGTGCATGAAAAAGCCACGACTCTTTGGGCCTTTACTCGTGACTGCTTTCTAGGCCACTAAGCTTTGTCTTCTCTGCCGGTTTGCTGGTATGATAAACGGAATCCTTTCAATCGAGACCAAGTCGCCAAGAACGATTCTTTCCCACAACAGGGTACATCTGACCATGTGCTGCGCCTGAACCGAGAGATCTAGCTGGTGTGTTTGGGGTGGATTTGTTCATAGCCCGTGCGCAGCTGCTGTCTAGTTCCAGATTGCCCAACACGTGACTGCCTGTGCTGTTCGTCTCTATTTCAGACGAGCAGGTATGATCGACAGGCGCATTGCTGAGAGCAGCAATATGCACGGAATTCAAACAGACACGAACACATCAGGCACACCACATACAACCGACATTCCGAGCATTTCAGATCGTCCAAGCAGACAAGTTTGCACACTACTACAAGCGAATCAGGAAGCGGGTGTGCCAGCAATGCCGACGCCGGCAGTTTTGACGGTCAAGGACGATGCTGTGCCCGACCGTGTTTGCAAGGCACAAGGGCCTCCAGGGGCATCTGCGGACCTGTGACGGACTTCGATTACAATTTCCAGAATGATAAATAAATGACATTCCCGTTTCGGCGACGCCTGCATCACGAGACCTTTGGGAATGATGTGAATGATCGAAGGCTTTAGACAAGAAGCTTTTGGGTTTGGCTAGCATGTGTGTTTACTGCAACGTTGCCTGCCAAATTGGTGAAGACGTAGTGGGATGCCGGGCTGCAAGTGCCGCCTTAAGTTCGCGGATAACCGTGAAGCCATATCCACCGTGGACCTGCAGGTCCTGGAGTTGCAGCACCAAGAGCTGACTCTCTGTCTTGAATGGAACATCTTCGTAGACCCAGTCTAAGTTTCCACTGACTTGGCATGTTGTCGCATTCCTGTCGGAGCAGCGCACATGCAGACTAAGGTTGTCACGTTTGGACGAGTGGCTGCAAAGAGTCAGCGACACAATCGGCAGGACACCTTTGCAGCTTTCAGTATGCTCATGTTAGGTGCATGGACAAACAGGCACGAGCTGGGTCAAGTGGACGGCAACCTGTTTGACTACCTACGGTCTTGCGTGCTTGGACTGCTCTGATCTCCTTTGTCTTCCAGTTTCTCAGTTATGTTACATGGAATCTGTGCCTGTGGTAGCTAGCTTTTCCATGTCGTGAAGTGTATTGCTGTCCAAAGTCCAACGTGCTTTATTCTTTTGGGCTGTGGGCACGGTTCTGTTGGTGGCTCGTGTGCTCTTTAATATCGATCCTTAGACGCCTGGCCGTTTGGCAGGAAAGCTCGAAATTCCGGCGATGTTGCACTCAACGAACTGACAGTCCCCATTCATCAAAATGACAATGAAAAACTTTGGTGCTGATCCTCAAGTTCAAAGCATGTGCTAGCGGCTAGCGAATCAGCACCTGGTGTTTTGAGAATGTCAGGACGGAGCCGGAGATGACGTTGCAAACGTCCAATAGATCCCAGATTCGTTCCCCCGCCAGCGCTGAGCCGCTCCCGAAGCAGTGACTCAGAGCAACCGTGCCTTGTCAATGCAGTGCTCCCTCTGCATTTGGTACAGCCTCCAGGCTTCCCCGGCAGCTATCGAGGAGCAAGACCCTTAGAGTCAAGGAGGCAGGGCAAGATTCTCACTGACGAGATATTCGTTCGCACCAGTGCCCTCGCGTAGGTCGGCGAAGGTGAAGAAGGTTTGGACAGCTATGATTTGGCTCGGCATCAGGGCTCGAAAGTGGATATGTTCAAGAAGCTGAAATCCGAGGAGGCAGTGGGCTTTAGCGTCTGCGATATGATGGAACACGTGTATTGGTTCATCATGTCATACAAGTCTTGCTTAGTATTTGCTCTTATAGCTGCTAGTGCCTCAAGGATTTTGGGTCAAGGCTTGCCAACCGCCGATGAGAAAGGGGACACTTGAAGGGTTTCTGAGCACCTCTGGCGGCTCTCGTTGCGAAGGCTGCAAGGTTCAACTCGGTAACGCATCAAATCCCAGAGCCCGCGAAGGCTCCCGAATCTCTTACTGTACGAAAACTTTTTTGGGGGAGTCGGCGATGCGATAAAGGCAGAGCAGTTTCAGGGGCTTGGGGTAAGGAAATCCAATGCATAATCCCCACATGAAGGATTGTATGAAGCCCGCTGCCTGGAAACACAAGCGAAGTGGCTGCAGGAGTAACTCTGCTCATTGACATGCGCAACTCCCATGAAGGGTGAAATGAGCTTGGTCACATGCATCTTGCAAGGCAGTGCATACTGCATCACAATGTTGTGAAGGCGAACTTGGCCAAGTCCGAGGAGCAGACCACGCAGTGCGGCATGGTGCAGACTTGGTGTTTAAGGATCGTCAAGTCAACAGTATGCGAAATCTTCTTCGCCTTGATGATCGTCACCAACTCCGCCTACCTTGGCGTGCAGCTAGAATGGAGCTCACAGAACAGAGACAGGACCGTCAAGGTGTTCACTACTTCCGGGTAACAGGCTTTGGTTGAGATACCTCAGACAGATGCGTGCTGGGTATATCAGGACGGCTGAACAGCAAAATGTTTTTCTCGTTATCAATGTGATCTATGCCGTCATTTTCCTCATTGAGGCTCGGTGCTGTCAGAATTCGGATGCTCTGCTTAATGTCTTGCCAAACTATTGTCTGCGTGAGGGTGCATGCCCGGCATTCTGTCTGGAGTCATCGATGAAGGTAGTTGCCGATGGAATAGAAGGCACTGGGGGGGCATTTCTGAGTGGGGTTGAGAGGGTGGAGCGTGGGGTTGGCAGGGGTTGCTGCTAAACATTGGCCGATGGGTTGTGCTGCAACCTCGTCGCCTAACGAGGCGGCGACAGCAAGATCTTGCTCGGGTTTAAGATATGAGATCATCTGTCATGACCTCATGAGGGTCTGGATAAGAGTTCTAGGATCAATCACCATCGCCGGATAAGGAGGCGCAAAAAGCGTTTACTGTCCTTGACCTGCTTGGACTGGGGTGGACCGAGCCGCTGCTGCATGAGTGGTCTTGCATAATCGGAAAGGCCATGACTCTGTTCGCCAGGTTTGCCTGCGCCTATTGGCTAGCGGGCCCAGAATCTACTTCATGGCTCCTGGCTGGTCCTGGAATTGGCTCGATGTTTTCGTTGTGACTCTCAGATGCAGTCGGGCTCCGGTGTTCGATACACTGCGATTCATGAGACACATTCAGTTTTGGTGGGGTTCACGGTCTTGCTGCGAGAGACATGAATCACGGACAGCGAGAATCACTTCAACAACCGCTGCCCACTGCAGGTCATTCGTCATTGCGTGATTGTCAACAAAACTACACTAGGGGTGTGTACAGTTGAGGCTACGCTTTCAGCGGGTGGACTAGGAATGAGTCCTGGACAGGAGTGCTCAGTTCGAAGTCGGAAATCTAGCAGCAAAGAAAACGAAGCAAAGGATGTGAATCTTCGATTTGGCTTGATCGTGCTGATCGTGCTAGCTAGCTTGCTTTCAATTCTGTATCAATCATAGAACGAATTCCACTTCTCTCTTGAGGACGTCAACGTGGGTAGAGCTTGCCGTTGGCTTCTTCTCTGTTGATGGTAACGATGGTGGCCTGTCAAACAGCAACCTTCGGTTGCTGCGCGTGATCAAGGCTGGGGTCTCAGAATGTCACGGCCCGGAGGGTATGAAACCTGCAAGTGCACGTGTTCGGTGTTTCTGCAAAAGGTCACAAGACTGGCCCGTGTTCTTCGAGTTCTGCGTGTTGTGCAGTTTGTGCGGCCATTGAGGACGCTCATGCACTGCGCCTGGGTGTTTGTATATCTTATTCGTCATCCATGTGTCGTGTTTGCAGGAACGTGCACGTCATGAGTCATGTGTCAAAAGCTCTGTGTCGCGGGTCTTGCTCAGGCCTCGTGGACACTACCAAATCCTTCGTCTGGTCACTCATGCTCCCTGGGTTCCGCATGGCCTAGTGGCGTCTTGCATAGTAGGAAGTAGAGGTTCAAGCCACAGCCTTCGAGTGGGTCGGACAATTGATTGAAGTGACTGCTGCAAAAGGCTCAAGCTGCACAAGTCACAAGTGTTTGCATTTCTGCCATTTCTGCCCTTGCAAAGGCTTTTGGTTCTCATGATGTACGTCTTCGGCCTGCTCTTCACAGACGCCGCCATTGACCACATGCGGATAATCGGAACTACGGATCCAGATATGGACAGGCTGTTTGGAACTGTGCAGCTGAGTCTGATCAGAACTCCTGTTTTTGATCGCCTGCTTACCCGTGGGTTGCTTGGAATCGGAGAGCAGAAGGTCTTGCAGCCTAGCACCGACCGCCCTTCATACATAAGCCTTCCCATATCTCGCACTGTTGTCCTGAAGTACAGAGCCAGATTTTCAGTTGAGATTTGTATGGAAGCACAGGTCTGAATGCCATCCTTGAGACATGTGCGGAGGCACAATCACTGAGGTGCGAATGCAGCTCCGGCTCAGTTCCCTTTTCTCATTTTGAGGTGGGGATTCCGGAGCCATGACAGAATCCTGGGAGGAATTCTTGAAGAAGGTTGAGAACCCGTCTCCTGGTGAGGCAGTGGTCAATGCCTCGATCGCATGGTTCCAAACCAAACTGCAAGTGACACATCCATCCGTAGCAGCAGGATACTTTGAAGATCAGATTGCCACGCAGTTGCCAAGCGAGTTACCAGTTCAAGCATGCGTTAAAAGGGTGTTGCGAGCAGTTGAGTTTATTGCTCAGGCGCGGAGGATGGTGCAGGCCAGTGGAGCTGCGACAACAGCAGCTAGCACGCCAACGACGTCTGCACAGAGCTTGGCCAAACTCTTGGTGCCAGCCAAAACAGCAGACGTGGCAGCTTTGCTTCAAAAGGCGAGTTTAGACAACCTGTCTTTCGGCCCCGAGCAAGCTCTGTGGAACAGCATGCAGCAGCATGCAGAGGACAGTATGTTGATCTGGCAGCAAAAGAGACGTTGCGGATGTGGCTCACACCGGACTTGATCGGCGGCAAGTTCCAGATGCACGAGGAAGGCGAGTGGCCGTCGCAAGGCAATGTTCCTATCGCCTCACTGAACGACTTGGGCAAAGCATTGAAAAGTGCAATTGCGTCACCACGGTTCTTCAGGACTTCCTCGCAATGGTGTGGCGCTTTCTTGGGCTACGCCGTAGTGGCAGTGGCCACATCGCAGCTCTGGTGGCAAAGCGTTTTGACCCACATGGACATTGTTCTGCAGTTAGTTGAGCAAGAGCGCATGAAAGGAAACCCTCCCTTTGTTGCGTTTCTGTACTACTGGGCAACAGCTTTGCTGCAGAAGTCAAGAAAGTCGACAAGGGCATCTTGGACATTGCACGGCATCGGCTCACCGAGGTCATGAAAGCCATTGATTGGCCTTTCAGGAGGGGCAGGTGCGTCGAGAGGTTCTCCACCGTTCAGTGCGTCTGACGACGCCATGTCGAAGCAACTGGCCGTCTCCCAAATGGCCCAGAAGCAAGCTGAGAGGGCTGCCAGGCAACTTTCAGAGATCCAGCAACTGATTCTACAGCAAGGCCGAACAATGGCGACCCAGAATCAGATTGACGAAGAGGCTCCAGAAAAGTTCACCAAGAAGCAGCTCAAGTCCCAGAAGTGGAATTCAAAGCTGAAGCAACGGCGCGAAGAGCAGGTGAACAAGAAGAAACGGCCATGGAATGGCAATCAGCACTGACAAAGCGACGACACTGCAGTGAAAGCTGGATGGTGCAGAATGCCTGAAGTGTTGCAAGAGCTGCCTTCGATCGAAAGTCTTCTGGTTACTGACAATTGCCAGCCTTGTTTGCTTGAAGTTTTTGCAGGCAAGGCAGTTTTGACGATGGCCATGATGGCCATGTCCGTTCCGTACGCCAAGCCATGGGATGTTGTATATGGAGAGCAGTTTGATGTGCTCAAGCATAGTGAAGTCTTGATTGATGCCGTTAAAGCGGGCCGTGTAGCACATATGCTTTTTGGCACGCCTTGCCAGTCCATGACCTGGGCGGCTTGCTTTAAAAAACGAGGATTCGTCTGAGCTTGACCTGTCAACGTCCTCAACTCCCCCGCGCACCCAAGCCTTGAGTGCGCTCCGCAATGCTGGCCCTTCAGACACGTCGAGTTCAGGGCCGGTTAGGAGGAGTAATGCTAGGGCGAGGTCGGCATCTTTTGGACCATTAACCAGCCCCATCCTTTGCCTCAGATTTGCCACCTCCGAGCCCGAGCCCCGCGCAGCAACAAGGATAAACTCCATCTTCATCAGCGGGCGCAGACAACAGGTGTTTCAGGTTGGGGTTGATCCATTGGTTCATGCAAACGTGCAGTCGGAGGCTACTCAAGCCGTAGCTGCAGTCCGAAACCAGGCCGAGGTTGCAGTTACATCTGTGGTAGGACAGGCCCAGGCCGAAGTCACCAACGCACGAGCCGAAGCAACGGCTACAGTGCAACATGTTCATAGGATTCAAAGTCATAGTGAAGCCCAAGCTGTGATCCAGAGACCCTTCGGACCAACCCAGCAAGTGGGAGGATGAACAATGCCCTGACCCGGGGTAGAAGCCCAAGCAAGGACGATCATGGAACAACAGGGGTTATCAAAGTCCTTTTGTCAACAGTTGATTGCACGCCAGGCTCATGTTCAAGCCGAAGCCCCAAACCATAATGGCACGGACCAACCAAAGACCGCAGAGGCCTCTTCAGCCCATCAGCCATCGACGCGCTGCAAGGGGATAGAGCAGCCGATTGAGGCAGCCTTAGCCCGAAAGCCACAGCTACGAAGCAGAAAGGTAAAGTCAATTGCATTGCCAATCCTTGCGAAAGCTTCGCTAGTGGTTTGAGTGTTCCTTGTCCGGTTGAGTTTGGGTCGCCACCCTACACATGCAGCCGTAGGAACATCTTCGCGGGTCGGTCTCACTCCAAAGCCTAAGCCCCAAGTCTTCGACGTTGGTGATGAAGATGAGTTTGGTAGCATGATAATCAAGGTGAGGTCCGTTCGTTCCGAATGTTGGTGATGACCCCGAAGATGTGAAAGACTACGAGTCTGGCATATATAGATTCAAGGGCGTCGAGTCTGGCATATATAGATTCAAGGGCGTCAAGGATTTGCAATTGCCACAGATGCCGGTTTGCGCAACCGATTGCCGTGCGTGTAGGACCGCACTGTTAACATCCGTAGCTTTCTGTTGATGGTAACGGGAAATCAGTGCTACTGAAGTGGCTCTTGGACCCCGCCAGTACAATCAACGACGCACGACGGTGGTATCAGGCCGATAATGAAGCCCTTCCAAAGCGTGTCAAGGGAGAGCGGGGGCTAGGCTACAGGCCCAATCCTATCTCGAGTGCTGCCATGCGGCCGGGTCGATGCCGAGTGGACGAGCAATGCTGTCGGTTCTGAGTAGGAGATACCGAGTCGACAGAGCTTCGCGGTCCTTTGGTATCTTTGCAATCCCTCTTTGGCCTTCAGTGAGCAAGCACTCAAAGAGTCGTTCAAGGAAGATTCCAAACAAAAGCAGACAGCAGATCCGAAAGCAGCCGCATCGAATGATGAACAGTTGCGGGCGATGCAAATGACAGCGCCGCTGCGAAGGGGGCAAACAGTCTGAAAGGAGCGAGGTCGCCCTGAGATCGAGCTCAAAGGTAGAAGGGAGGTTGCAAGCGCTTGCGCCCGTCGACGCGGCTGCTAGCAAGGCGACTCCTGCAGGAAGCTTTGGGGCGGCCTTTAACGGAGCAGCTCTCTGGAGCGCATCTACATGGTCAACAGGGCAATCGTACTCTCTTGATTGGGTTGCTGATTCTGGGGAAGGGAGAAGCCCGCTAAGCCAGTCCGAACTTGCAGAACAAGGCATCATAACGGATGTGTTCAAAGCTGACGTCCAGGGGATGAAGCCGTTGAAGGTTGAAACCGGGAACGGTGTTACGGGCAGCGGCACCTTCCTCACTACAACGACTGACGCATTTGGATCGGTAGAACCCCATGTTCTGCAAAGTCGCCCAGAAGCACGGTCGTTGGCTCAAGCACGGTCGTTGGCTCAGCTAGCTGAGTTGCAGCGAAAGCCTTTTGTTTGGCTTCCCAGTAGCATGCCGTTCTGCGGTACGGATGAGGATTGCATTCAGGTCACTTGGGATTCTGCTCGGGTCATCTCTGCCCATAAGGTTGATGATTACGTTCCGGAATTCCGGGAGCAATTGAAGTTTGGTGGCGATGGCATGCGCAAGGCTTTAGTCGCTCTAGTCGCTGGTGAGTCTGCGCCGGCAGCCCCAGCTAATGGTTCGTCAGCCCGAGCTGACGGTTCGTCCGCCCCAGCTCGTGTAGAACCTCCTCCACCTGATTCAAAGGAAAGTTCCGATGCTGATGATGAGGGCGATGAAGACGCACCAACAAGGACCCAGCGCCTGACCAGTGAAGCCCACACAAAGCCTCAAACATCAATCCATTTTTGTGATGTGTAGTCGTAGCATAATGCTGAAGAAGCGAACCACGAGGGTCGGGTAGTTCGATCGCTGCTTTCGTTCATGGGCATGTAGGTCTGCCTCCGGTCCATGTGTGTTGTTTAAGAGTGACAACCCACGTGAGCTGCTCAGTGCTTGCGCAACGTTGGGGTTCACGTCTGAGCCTGGTCTTGAACGGAGATGGGCCCACAATTCGGTGTTGGAGGGAGAGCTACGAGCCCTGGAGGAATGCACCCGTGCATCGCACATTGCTTCGGGTTTCCAGTTGCACTCAGGACTTGGGCTTCACACCGTTCGGTAATGCGCCGCTCACCTTGAACATGTTCCACCCGACCGTTGGGATTGAATGTAGCCGTTATGTGAACGCCGTCGCGTCCGAGTTCAGTGGGAGAAATTGCAACTGGGTCAGCTGGTCTACTGAGTCTACTACAGACCTGATCCGCATTACGAGACAAGCAGGTTTCAGGCATCAGCAGCTCCAGGGATCTTCGCGGAATGGAGGTTCGAAGATCTATCAGATCTTGGGCTATGGTAAGCTGAAGAACCGAGAACCAGGTGCGAGAAAGCAATCTCAGTCCCGAGAGAGTAGCTTCTTGTGCCGCTCAGTAATCCTATCCTCCCGATGTTTACTGCTGCAGAGTCCGCATTGTCTGGTTTCACACAAACAAAGTACGAGGCCATTGATGTCCTTGATGCGCTTTTTAGTGCAGTGGCACCGTCAACACCGGTCGCCAAACGCCACGAGTACATAACGTTGGATAGGTTTATTCGGC